TTTTTATTCTTGCTAGGTCAAAAGCCAAAAAGCTGGGATTACTAAAGGCAATAACAGCTTTTCTGTTTTTCCACTTAGGGAATTATAATGAAGAGCAAATATCACACTAAAGCACTTTTAAAAATGATTTCTCATGGAAGATTTATTTAAACAGATCGTTAACGATTTGGTTTCAGTTTCAGGGCTAACAACAAGAAAAACAAATTTCAAAATTAACTGAAAATTTCAAAATTATCCTTTTCAGCAAATTCTTTAAACTGCGTTGAGAATAGAAGATTTGAATTTCCCGTTACTTATGGCTTTACCTTATCATTCCTTTTTTGTTTCTACTAACTAAGGGAATAATAAAAAGCAAATACCACACTATAAGCGCTTGAAAATGATTTGTCAAAGAAAATTTCTATAAGCAGATCTCTCAAAATAACGCTTTGGTTTCAGTTTAAGCGTTAATGGCTGAAAAAAATCATGGAGGCAGCGTGGCCAAGTGTTTAGGGCGCCGGATTTGAACTCCGAAGGTCGCGGGTTCAAATCCCACTCTGACTACTATGCTGGAGTTGTTTCTCGATAGACCTAAGTTCAACTCCTCTGTCATGCTTGTGAGTAGCCAGTTGGTCTGCCTCTCGCCAGTTCGCCAGTTGGGATTTCCACGCCTGTTATGTTTGTTTATTTGAAATATTTCTTTCTTTCAGTTGAAGGACATTCGCGCGAAAATTTTCCAGTCGATGGAGTTTTTTTTAATTTTTACTGCAGTCAGATAATGAATTACTTGTGTCAGAAATGCAAATAATATTGGTGGTCACCGACTTCGTTTCAGAGATAAAGCGTGTGGAAAATTACCCTGAGTTTGAATGAGTGGCCCGCGTACTTCAGCATGGTCTACAGGGTTTTATAATTAAAAATATCGAAGGTGAGTCAACGGAGGCAAGCGATCTTAGTCATATTTTGTAGAAGCGGGTCTGTTACGTAAATAATTCCAAATGTTACCAACTTTTTCACGAAACAACCCTTCAAGAGGCATTTGAAACCGTCGCACAGACAAACGCTAAAAAGAACGGAATTCAATGGTGCATCTTGCAAAAAATTCAAACTTCTAGTAGATCGATTTTCTTCATTTTTTCGCTAAATGTAGAAAATCGGTAGAGAAAATGACCCATCAAAAGAAAAATAGGGGTCATCGACCACTCAGTACAAACATTCAACATTTTAACATTTTTTAAACATTTTCTTAAACAATGGGTAGATTAACAAAATTCCAGTATTATCTTCTTCAGAAAATCCTGCTGATGAACTTCGTTGAGGAGATTTGAATTTCCCGTGTATTATCGCCTAAAAGGGAAACAATGAGAAAGCTGTGATTATTTAAGGCAATCACAGCTTTTCTGTTTCCCACTTAGGCGATAATAAAAAGCAAATACAAGTCTAAAAGCACTTTTTAAAACGATTTGTTAAAAAGATCTGTATAAACAGATCATTCAAAATAACAATTTGGTTTCAGTTCCAGGGTTAAAGGCTCAAGAAACAAAGCCCAAACATTATCTTCTTCAGAAGATTTTGCGATTTGCGACTGATTCGGTTGAGTTTCTTATTTAATTAATGGCTCGTTTGAGGAACTGTGTCACAGATTTTAGCCAAATTTAGATATAAGAAAAGAGCCAGCAAATTGAGTGAAATAAAAACAAGAACCAACTTAAACGGTTAAGGAATATTTCAATAACACAAGAAATACAAAAAAAGATAAGAATGGCCAGAAATTGAAGAATTTTTGAAAACTGTTAGTTAATCGTTTCACCTTTAATTATAACGCCCAGGAGATCCATAGAAGTAAATTCTTTGTTGACATTACGTTTCATAGATTGGAATACGAATATTATGAAGTTATATTATATATTTTCAAACAGAAATTCAGAAGCAGGGCACCCAAAATAAATTATGTATCGCAGTATGTCCATAACAGCGCTTCAAGTGTCTCATCTTCCAGCAGTAAATTGATGATGAGTAAAGAGATGAGTTCAATTTATATCGGCGCTTAATTCAGCGAATGCAGCGGTAAATAACAAAGCAAAAACACTAAGTATATGTAAAACGTTGCGACTGCAAAGCTTCGCCATTCGCCCCTTGAATGTCTTGTTCGTTCGCTCAGTTTTTTCGCTCTTCACCAAAACTTTTAGAGCAAAGGAGAGACTGCTCACAGAGTCTATACACAAAGTGTCCAATAAAACTAGATTGTCTAGTAAATTATCAAAAGAACATGGGGGGGAAAACAGCTGTTTTCTGTATATATAAACCACAATCACTTCGAAAAAAGTTGAAAGAAGACAAAATTTTGACATTTCGTTTTTAGACCACCTTGATGAGCCAGAAGCCCAGGCAGCAATCCCGTGATTACTGACAAGATAACCAAGAACCAGATTAAAGGCCTAGACAATTGCCTCAGCACTGGTACGAAAGATCCCGCCGGTTAATTAATTAAGCAGGCTGCAGTTAAGGCTGGTTTTCACTAGCGCATAAACATAAGCACAAGCCGACATGGATATGCAGATGCAGCAAGATGCTGATAATTAGCGCTTTTTGTTGGAAATATCCCAAACAAAAGATGCCATCTTGCTACATCTGCGCAGTCGGCTTGTGCTTATGTTTATGCGCTAGTGGAAACCAGCCTTTAAGCATGGTGGTGGTGACGAGGAAAATGTTTATTATGGTTCATTGCTGGCAGGCAGGAATGCTCAGCTGGTAGTAGTAAGGAAATATTTGTTTTTAATTTTGAATTTTTTTGTTTGTTTGCTTTTAATTTTTACTTGATCAGGCCCCAGTTGTTCGAAGGCTGAATAACACTATCCACCGGATAAATCGCTATCTAGTGGATAAGTGTTAACAGAACAAGCCACGCCATCCGGTGGATAGCGTTATCCATGTGTTGCACTACCCGGACCAGAATGGTAGATAACTACGTTAAGTGAAAAAAATGTACGAACCTATATACTAAACATGCTAGTTTGTGTTTCTGGTTACGTTTAATTACCGTTCAACGTCTTTTTCTGCCGATTGTCAGCATTTTCTTGTGGAGACTTCCATCAAAATTGGCCGCAAAATGAAAAAAAAAAAATTATCAGCAGCACCAGTATCATAGAACAATCAAAGCTACACGCAAATGGCTACTCCCAAACGCGATGAAATTTGCACGTGCACGTGCTGGGGTCGTTACGTTGCAACATGCACCAGCTATGCTTTCTTCGTGGAGAAAACAAGTTTAGATCTGTAGTCGATTTATACCTTCACACAGCGGACTAGACGGTTATAAATTCGCTGTTTGTCACTCTAGAAGAAATTGTAGGCTGGACATTATTGGACTTTCCGTTCAAAACGACGGGAAAATCCGCTTGAAAAGGACTATGGATGATCAAGACAACATTCAGGTATCAATCAACAGTAATATGATAATCGCACTGCGGCAACAAAGTATAAGAAATTATTGCTGTAGCTAATTTGTGTTTCTTAAGTCGATCTAGCTTATAATTTATTTCCCGAGCTAGATCTTCTATACAAGCAGTCTCCAACCTCACTTGATTTGTATTTTAGTTTCGCACGTCGAATCTTGAGCTTACTCAAAATCCGTGTTTTCTTTGATAAATTTCGTCGTCTTCGGATTGTTCAGCTTATGCCCGAATAAAAAAATGTCGGGTAAAAGCAAACTAGCAGGTAAATGTGTTAAAATCGGCAGCGATCGTGAATTTAGTTAGAAGATAACGCGTAGTGAAATGATTTTTCGGTTAGAAAATGGCGCGTATTTTTTCATGGCCAGGAGAGAATCCTCCATAGGAAAAATATGGTGGCTGAACATTTTACCACAGTACTATGCGAACATAATACAGTACATTAGACATAAGGGAGCGATACGTTTGCAATATATGTCCCTGTACTAAGGAAATTGTGAATACTGAATTTGAAGATTTCAGAACTTTTCTGTATTGTTAAGGCTATCGTATGTTAAGAAGTATGGGTAAATGTACCAGTGGCCATCTTTTTTGCAACTGAGGATTGTAACACCTCTGTGTAACAAAGCGAATAGATGTAAATGGGAAGGTTGTACGTGCCAATCCTCGCTGGTCCTTTTATATAGCATGCTAACCTTCTGAACGTTCATCATGCTGTGGTAAAAAAAACCCAAGTCGATACAGATTAGTTCTGACGAAAAATTGTTCTAAATTTTTCCTCGCGTTTATATCAGAAAGAACCGGTCATTTTGTATTTTGTTGACTGCTCAACAATTCGTCAAAATGTTTCACGCGTTATATATGTAATAAATATCTTAAAATGAACTGGCAAACTATTTTTTTTGAGGCCAGACAACCATAGAAAGACAGCTGGGTTGTTCAATGCCCGATTAAGCTAAATCAGGATTACTGAGAATTTTGATTTCAGTTTTGAACTTTTTGGTGAGGTTTTTTGTTTATATTGTTTGTTCTTTAGTTTAGCTTGAATAATCTCAAACTACACAAAAAATAAGCAGGGAAAAACATTTTTGTACATGCAAGAAAAAAAATGATACTTCGGTTAACTTTTAATACTGTGTGATAGCGTTAACCGACTTTTGAACAACTCGACCCAGTCTGCTAAACTGTCGACCATCTATTGATGTCAGGGGTAAGGGGGTTTTCCTTTCCTGTTTTTTTTTCTTGTTTTGTTTTTTCTTTTCAACAGTGACAAAAAGGGGAATGTAAGAAGTTCAGTGAGACATGATTAGTAAGAAGAAAGAACAAACAGCTATATTTTGTCCCAAACAACGCAAAATCATAGCCAACACATCCAGACTAATGCTAAGATGAGTAAGACTATTTATACTAACTGCGAAGAATGAATTCTCGTTCTTCCGGACTTCCACTTGTGTTTCTATAACACGAAAAATATTTTCCCATTCTTAAATTTCACCAACTTTCAGCTCATTTTACGTCATCAAAATCTTAGCTCGACGTATGAAAGATATAATTGGACGGTATCTTTCACAGAGGTCTACACACGTAAGATTTGTCTCCTTGTAAATGACTGAAGTTTACAATTGCGCCAATTTTCGTTTGTTGCTATCAATTTTTCACAAACTGCACTGAATATTGAATGAATCGTGGGAATTACTGCGAGGTTTAGCATTTAGATTTGGGAGCCTTTGGAAAAAAAAGGGATTGAATAATTTCGGTATCTTTTTCAATGTTTGCTAAAGAAAAACAGTAGTTTGCGGTAAAGGTTTGAACCCAGGGGTATCAGTAGTTCGTCTTGTGAGATCATCCGACGGAGGGTATTTCTGAAAAGAACTGTTGTCGGTGATTGACGTTTCGACAGCCTGAGCGGAAGTCATCTTCAGAGTCAAGTGAATAGTGTTTCTCGGTCGATTTAGTTATAATCCTGGTCCGTTGAATATTGATCGGGCAGAAGCAGATAGTAGATTGATTCATTTCAGTGGTCCTGAAGCAAGGAAAGCGAAAGAAATACCCTCAGTTAAGTAAATAGCTGGCCTTTTTTATTTCATTTAGACAAAACTACATGCATTTATTGAAGTTCATTTATTTACGAAGGCTAACCACCGCAACAGATTTGTAAACTGCTGATGCTATGAGTGTCTTTTTGAAGTGTAAAATGGGGTCCCGCCCTGCTCCAAAATAACTCGCTCAAAATCAGTTTTCCAAATGCATTACGGTGGTTCCTTGGCCTTTATCAAAGGTAAACTTATTAGCAATGTGTTTCTTCCAGTTTCCTGCTATGACAGCTAAAACACTCGACTAAATATCAGCGTTGCTATGCTAATATCACGCATTTTAGTATTTTTATAAGTTGGATAATAAGGCCAGTTATTTTTAATGCTACAGTGAGTTATGCTTGCTCACAGCTGTATTCGGGTTCTTCTTTGAAGGATGCTATGGAGGGAGAACACAATATATGTATAATTAATATACATGCAAAGATTTCAGCATGCTTATTGTCTGAGAGCGCGTCCGTTAACCCCGAACAGTGTCGCAAGTTGAAATTAAATAAATTAATTAATTAGCCAATTAATTAAATATTTAGAGTGAAAGCCACATTTTCATCCGAGTCCTCTATCCTGGTAGAGTTGGAATTTGGGGGAGAATTATGTGGGGGAGGAAAACTGGAGTACCTGAAGAAAAACCTCGAAGCAAGGCGAGAGCCAACAACAAACTCAACCCACATATGGCACCGGGCCGGAATCGAACCCGCGAGTCACATTGCGGGCGGGAGGCAAGAACTTTCACCACTGCGTCATCCTTGCTCCCCTGAAATTGGGTGCAAAACGTTGAAACTGAGTGCAGAAAGTTGAAATTGAATTGCACGAATAATATTAATAAGTAATCAAACGATTCTTTTTGTGCTATTTGGAATAAATATGCACCAGCAAATTTTTCAACGATTGCACTTGCACTCGCCATATGGGCTTGTGCAATTCGTTTTAGTCTGAAAATTTACTAGTGCTTATTTATTCCAAATTGCACGCGAAATAATTTGATTATCTGAACTACTAATATGTTGGTGAAACGTTTAAGAAACGAGTTCAAAAAGAGCACGGTTCTTGCCTCCCAAAGCAAAGAAAAGAATGTATTACTAGACAGTTGATAGCACTCAGTAAGATTTAGGAACGGAAGGCAAAAATATATACTCTTTACAACTGAGAAAAAACCTGCTGTATGGGTCAACAATGAATCAAGGTACATGTATCAATTATTAATCCAAGACAAGTAATATAAAAAGAAATTCTTAGTAAACAGAGGCAAAAAGTAAAATCAAAATTCGGCGAGACGGGGGTCACTTAAATTCCCGTGTCTGGTTGGGTACAAACTTTTTGGCACTATATTTTTGTGCAATCAGTAAAGTACATCTGTGTTATTGCATATTTTGTTGTGCCCAATTAGCCATACAGCTGCATCTAAAGGTGCCACATTCCTGCCCTTGTACATGGAGTTGTTGTTGTTTAGCGTTGATGGTTGTGCTTCAGAATTTGTTTCTCTTCAATTAGAAGTTTCAAGAACGTTTCTGAGAATATTACGAAAACGCATATAACAAAACTGAGATTAAAAATTTGGCATGGCGTCAAGGAGGTTAGTAAGTTCTAAAGGGCAGCAACTTACCTTCGGTTCCATAAGCCTCCACTCTGAGACAGTTCCAAGCATGTCGCTGGGTTGGATTAAAACGGAGGTACCTTGCATTCACTATCACTGGTAACTTGTGTTGGTCAACTGTGTTGCTGTCGCCTTGCCTGTGAAATTCCTGTCAGTTGAGAGAGTTTTAAGATTGTAAGAGATCCTTTTTAGCTTACAACTATTAAAACTATAAAAAAATAGCTAGCCAAACTATGATGGATTCACTGTTCATCCTTCAAATTGTCCTGAAAAGAGAGAATATGAAGGGTAGATAGTCAATACGTACCCCATAATGGCCTCATTTCCAAATTAATCCCTCTCTCAATTTGTTTAGATCCCTCCCGGTTTCAGAAGTCCCAGGGTGGGGGGTGGGGGAAGGAATAGAAATAGCCAATCATGTAGCGAGGATTTTGATCACGTGGACAACCCAAGCAGCTTTACACGCATTGTCACCCTTCACCAAAACATCCACACAAAGCCCGTGGTAATGTTATCTGCGAAAGATTTGGATATCGTACGTGTCCAAAAAACAGTTTGAGAGGGCCGGGATTACCCTTGCAAAAAGGCTTCTATGGGGGATTAACCCTCTCACTACTCCTTCTCTCTTTCTTGAAAATATACGTTATCGTAATTGTAACCGAGTTGAAATTATAAGTTTCATAGTTTTTATTAAAAACTAAAACAGATCTCACCACTTCCATGTCATTTGCATCCTTGTAAGGTGTCCAGGTTTGAGCATCTGATGAAGAAGACAGCTTGAAGGCTGTAACCCATTCATTACCATTTCTGTCTCCCTGAGTAGCAATAGCACACAGTGCAATAGTTTTTCCAAGATCAACCTGCAGCCAATCGTCATTTTTACCGGCTTCTTTGGCACACCAGCCATCGCCCCTGTCACCATTGAGTCGACCATAAGCAGCCTGGTAACCATGGTTATACTGAGAGGACGCTGTCATCTGATTATCAGGAATTTTTCTTGGGTCCGAAATTCCTACAGGCTTGGTATAGCAATCATCTGCTACTCCTGAAATTAAATTGCCGTTCAGAGTCATTGAAAGTTAACGAGTCTATCCTTAAAAATTCAGGATTTACACTACGAGTGACATTGGAGTGGTCATAGGAGTGGTTATTCTTTCAAACTTGTACGAGCCTTTAGGAAAGTAGAGATGGAAAGAATTTTCAAATATCAAGAGTAGTGTAGATACTTGATTGCTCTCGCTTTCATGCTATTTTTCAGAAAACTACGAAACACGCGCGCGTTAATTTGCAGAGAAATGCAAATTAAAAATGAATGATAAATTTGCTGGCTCTCAGTCAATCACAATTAAGTAATTTTCTCGATTGGTCATATTTTATAAACAGACTACGAGCCCGAGATTTTTTTTCAGTGAATACTTTTTCTACTGAATTATTGATTTACTGATTTATTTCAAGGTAGACGAGACTTCTTGCTTTCTCTTTCTTGCTTATAAGTAAATGTCGTGGCTCGAGAAAAGGAAAAATCTGTGTGAATCTAATCTGAGCATTTCTTTTTACCTTGTGTGAGCTTTAGCAAGAGCAAGAACACACCAATCTTCAAAGTCATGACTTGATCCTAGAAAGAAAAGAAATATGTTTTATATTATTGCCAGTGGATTAACTAATTATGCTGCCATTAATTATATGCGTTTTCAATTAACGTCTGGTATGTGGCGTGAATGAGAGGCGCGGTGGCGTCATGGTTAGTGCCCTCGTTCCCGGAGCGAGCGGTCCGGGTTCGAGCCCTGGCCGGGGACATTGTGTTGTGTTCTTGGGCAAGGCACTTAACTCTCACAGTGCCTCTCTCCACCCAGGTGTATAAATGGGTATCGGCGAATTGTTGGGGAAACCTAACAAATTGCGGGGGAGTGTCCAGGGAGAGTAGAAATACTCCTAGCCGCTTCATGCTACAGAAACCGGGATAAGCTCCGGCAGCTATGAGCCATTCGGCTCCAAGGCTTCACTTATGTGGCGTGAATGCCAAAAAGTTGGCTGACGTATATATTATTGATGCCAGCCATCGTTGCTGTAATAATGGTTACCATAGCAAACTGTGAAACTTTTCAAGTAATTGCTCATTTGATTTTCAGTATCTATATTTCATATTGATATTGGTACAGTTATCATTAGTTAAATTTGTACCATACGTTGAACATCGTAAATTCAATTTTCAATACATTTATGCTAACGAGAAATAAAAGAACACCGAAACAGACAAAGATCGCGAAATGTTCGGCTCAAAACACAATATTCCGCGAATTTTCGGATTTTTTGTTCACAAATGTCAGAATTAAGGTAACGGGATAAATATTGTTATCTCTCCTCAGTGTTTTGGAATTATGAATGGTTCTCGTTTAAGAAAATCATGGCATAATCCATAAGTGTGAAGTTCAATTCAGACTTCGACGACGTTCGTTGAATAGTTTCTTTAGAATAGTATCCGGCTTAAGCTTCTATCAGGTAAAAAAGACAAGAATTTAAAACTTCAGCCTCCTTGTATGATCTGCATATCGTTATTCAACACTTATCAATATTAGCGATAAAACTTTTATACAGCTGCCAATGTCACTGCTATTATTAGTTCACCTGTTGGTTCCAATTTTTCTTGATTACAATTATTGCTTTTCTACAATCCCAAACTGACTGAAAAAGCTTTCAAATTAAAAGTCAAATCGACTGTGAGAATAAAAGAAATTTTCAAAAATAGTCTGGTTGAACAATTGTGATCCAGAGTTGAAATTTTCTTTGCCAATTCTCTCGTGCAATTCTTTCACGCATCTCAAAGATTTTTTTCTCCACATCAAATTCGAACAGTGGAGTATTTTTACAGTATTTTTTCCAGTTTCTCTAAAATTTTGCAGTTTTTCCTGCTAAATTCTACTGATTCCAAAAAACGTTTTAAAATTAGTATCAGTTTCTTTGAAGGCAACCTTGCTATTTCTGGCAAGTATTTGTTTGCCCTTTCAACTGAGATATGGTGACCTGCACTGCTATAAAAACTGCGAGGTATTGAATAAAGAATAAAATGCGGTTGTTTATGCTCTTTTTTGCTGGTCAAAGAAACTCCGTGTTTCAAAAGCTTTCGTGGGCGATTGCGAACAAATCTGGCATTTAAAACCTGGACTATTCTTTATTTTTAGGCTTTCTAAGACTTAAGGGTGTTCGTAATCTTTGGGCACCAGTTGGAAGCTCTCGAGAGCAAGATAACAACGAGATTCGAACGAGATTCCATTGAAAATCGCCGGGGTTGTTCCCTGCGAGATCTTCAAAGATTCTAACACATTGCACGAGTTAAGGTATTATAACTGTCGTTCAACATTTCTCGCTATAATCCCTGAGAATTGATTTTTCTCGGATGTAAATTTAATATGGATATTGGGTTAATCACTAGCGCATCTAGGTTAATGGCATCAAGAAAATTGCTAAAGTAAAGAGTTTAAGGTTACTCATCGCAGAGAAAAAATTTCGGACACTAAGTAGCGTTTGCCTAACTTTGAACTGTGATCTCAAACCTGCCATATCTGTAATTAATCTCGTGCTTAAAATTTTAGCTTAACGTGGTAAAAGAGCAATTTTCCTTCAGTTGATTTGGCCAAGTATGCACAGAGCGACACTTAAGAAATTGTAAGACATTCGGTTATTTAGTCTCATCCTGGGATTATTTTAAGAAGCAGTTCAATCCTAGTGGAAAGTGTTTCAACATCTACAACATACCTTCTTTTCTTCAGAGAGCTAAGTTGATTCCTCGTTGATTAGTCAGACCAGACTTGGGGTAATTAACAGCGATCACAAGTATTTCTTAATACTGCAAGTCTCCGTAATGTGAATAAAAGAATGTCGTCATCAGAATTACACGTGGTGATGAACACGTTTCTATGGTTTGTTTGCTTTGGTTTTGGGCTCTTAGTTTGGAAACAATAACTTTAATTAAAAACATAAGATTATACTGTTTAACTTGTGTTTCTTGATAAAATTGCAGCACTTTTAATCTTACACCGTAAAACGTCGTAACAAGACCTGTCCTCAATCAAAAGCTTATTTCGCCGTGTCATCTTCATAAATTACATTAATCTATGTTAGGCAGCGAAAAGCAAGTATTTGTTTAATCATAGCAAGCTATCGGGTATGCCAATATCAGAGACAAGAGCTTAATTAAAAGAAAACAAAAACGGCCAAAAGGTTACATGCGCCCTCCAAGGTTGGAAAGCTTAATATGGCCCGCGAAACGAAATCGATACGAGTAACACTCGTTTATATTCCGGGTTCTAGCTCCTTTATTAATCTCTATAGCGGCTTTAAAGTCCTTTCGTCACCCACCCCCTAATCTCCCGGGTTCTCGCCATCCTTTTGTTCCCCCTCCCACCTAGCTCTAACAAAATAACGGTGTTTTTTTCTGTATTAATTCACATGCTACCAAATTTCAAGACGCCACCTGTCATGTCTGGTAAAGCGTTTGATCTAAGTCACCAATATCTTGTTTCAAAGGAAATGGCGCAAAAGCGTAGCTGAGCTCATCATCGGTTCACGGCGGTGAGTAAGTACGCAAAAATCTCAGGTGTGCAATGATGCAGAAACTTGAATTATTCGCGTTGGTGAAGGAACTTTGTAAATTAGTGCCAAATTGCACTTTGCTAGACTCAAGAAGATTAATTCATGTCGTATATGTTTATTTTTTCTGGTTAGTACAATTTTTACATATCCGCGTATCCGCATGTTGCATTTGTATGGTTTTGTAAAATGTGTCTAATCCTATAACGCCGCGTGCGAGCCTATATGGTTTATCAAGGTAACGAGTAAATGCAATTATCATTGAATCAGTACTTGCCAAACATTAAGCGTTTAATTAGTATATAGATCGAGGGTAGATTGCAATGTTTTCCTGGTGATAACTAAAACCACGTGACCAGAAATACTACATACAGTCAGTCGACAGTAGAGAGACTACTATGATGAGCTGACATCGAAAGGAATGTAAATAAACGTGCTGTGCTTGGGGAAGTTTTCTGAGCTTAGTGGAAAAGAGGTGCCAAAGTACAGGCTAAGGGTGAAACTTCAATGTTAAAGGAATTGTGTCATCGGTGTTTGCACCTGTGAGTGACCAGTTTCAAATCCGTATTGCTGCGACATGCGTATGTCGGCTTTTGCTTATGCTTGTGCGCTAGTAAGAACCAGCCTTTTCTCAATTGGACGCAATGCACCTCTATGTAAATAGTTCACCCATGAATTCAAATCTTAAATGATAGCCGGATCGTTTAAAACAAAGGCAATGAGAGATACCCTTTCTGTTACAACTGCATGACTTTATTTCATTTAATTTGTGCACTTTCTTACTCAGTCATCAAAGCACATACAGTCATTGTAAAAGACTTAATTGATTACTCCTCACACTCGTCCTCTTCTTCTATCGGTAAGGTGATTGGCTGCTTCGTAGTGGCCACTGGTGGAGGCGACGGTGGTGGTCCTGCTGTTGATATAAAGCGCAGAACTACTTCTTTAAAAGTTATCTTTCAAAATATGAGTGAAGTATTTAAAATATATATTCATAAAACTAATCTGAACAGTACTGAACAAGGCTATGACAGTGGAAAAAAGCTCAAAAGTCTAATTAATCGTTCAGCCTGCAATTTTAAAAAGGTGATGAAATAATTTTGAAACACGAAACATATTAAAACAAATGTAACGATAAGTAACTTAGCGAACTCAGTGAAAAGTGGGTTGTAACATACAACATAGATACGAGATGGCTAGTTATCTTTATTTTATGTGGTTGAGTCCGTTAAAGACCATGGGCGCAAATTAAATTACATCATATTAAATTAAATCAAATCAAATTAAATTAAATTAGGTCTTATGCTAACGGTAGTTGGTTCGGATATCTCATCTCAGTTAATTAGCATGGATTTTTGCGACTGTATTTCTCCGTTTTCTCCTTAGTTCTAGTTTCGCGGTCGAGAAGATATTTCACTCAAGACAGTGTTTGACCATATTTCCAACCACCTCGAATTTCGTTTACAATATTCCGCAACGCATCGTATTTTCTCCTCCCTACTCGGCGTTTTGATCCATGTCTTGTATATATTACTTCGAATCAATTGAAGGAAACTTCAAAATAGTAGTCGACAATCATCTCAGACATGTTAAAAGTGGTCGAATTTCGCCCGAGGTCTTCAGAAGAGAGCAGAAGATCAGTAATTAGAAAGATGACGACTACTGGCAAGATTAAGGCCAAACTTTAGAAAAAAAAACAAACGAAGAAGATGACCTGGATCTACAGAGTTCCCTAAATTGTCGGATTAGTCATTGCCCAGGTTCGAACTTTTGTTCGTAACAACCAATCAGACACCATACAACGATCTTTGGGGGGTTACGTCATCGACATGGAAATTTTGTGGGCCAGTCCCAGACATTCTTGTGATGAAAAATCGAGAGGATGAAGAATTAACTGTGCGCGCCAAGAAAGAAGAAATACATTACTCCGGGTTAGTAACAAGTATACTTGCCAATTAGGTTAAGTAAAACATTTTAAGTAATTTTTACCTATTGTAGGTGACTCTGTTGTAGGTGACTGTGTTGTAGCTGGCCCAGTAGGCGTTTCTGTTGACATAACCACAAACATGCTTAAAGAAAAGTTAATGAAAAAAGTAGCGCTTGAAATTTAGCTAAAATTACAAGGAGTGATTCGAAAATGACAGTTATTTTACCCTTAAAAGGCGGCGTTGTCGATGTTGGCAGTGTTGTTGTTTCTGTGGGCAGAATTATGAACATATTTTGAAACTAGCCTAAGAATTAGAAAGGACAATCAGTAGACTACATATTTTACCGTTGTTAAATGGCTTAGTGGAAGGTGACATAGTTGATGGTCCTTATTGCAAAATCACAAACTGGGTTTTGGAAACGAATCTCACGACAAACTAATTTTATTTCTCAAACTCATTTATAATTCATGCAGTTTAAACAAAGGAAATCGTGACTATGTCGGGTTTTTTTATATCTGATATTAATTAGCATAGATTTTTACGATTTTATTTCTTCGTTTTCTCCTTACTTTTAGTTTCAATTGAGAAGGTATATCAAGCACACAGGAGAGTGTTTGACCACGTTTCCAAACACCTAGAAGTTCGTCAAAAATACTGCGCTGCGCGTCGTATTTTCAACTATCTTCTTGGTGTTTCGAAATGTGGTCAAACACGGTCTTTCGTGTTTGATATACTACCTCAAGCACACTGGGGAAAACTGTTTGAAAAATACCATAAGTGCGAGTTTGGTTACCCTTTGTTGGAGGCTGGCTTGTGGGTGGCATAGTTAATGGTGCTGTTGGCAAAATTGTAAAACATGTTATTTGGAAATTAATATAAGGACAAGCTAAATTTGATTCAAGAAGAAAGAAAAACAAATATCAGTTATTTTACCCTTGGTTGGTGGCTGGGTTGTTGGTTGCATAGTTGATGGTGCTGTTAACAAAATTGTAAAAACTAGTACGGCAACAAACTCAATTTACCGCTAATTCAAGAAGAAAAGGAAAAAAAACATCAGTTATTTTACTCTTGGTTGGAGGTTGCGTTGTGGGTGCCATAGTTGATGGTGCTGTTGACAAAATTGTAAAACTTGTTATTTGGAAACCAATATAGCAACAAGCTAAATTTAATTCAAGAACAGAAGAAAAAAAATATCAGTCATTTTACCCTTGGTTGGAGGCTGGGTTGTGGCTGGCATAGTTGATGGTCCTGTTGACATAATTATAAAACATGTGGTATAGGTTACCAAGTGATTTTGAGTACGATTTAAAGTACATTACCACAAGTAAATCTTTCAGACTAAATCTGAAGCCTTTTAAAAATCTATAAGTGCTTATTTATTCCAAATTGCGCGAGAATTTGATTACTTGTCACTAATACACATGCAATTTAATTTCAACTTTCTGCACTGTTTGGGATTTTGATGTTGTGTCAGCCGATCAGCATGCTGACATTTTTGCATATTTTATTTCGCTTTGGAAACAAATGTAACAACAAGCTAGTTTTACTTCTACCTCTAGAAGAAATGCAAAGCAAATATCAGTCAATTTACCCTGGGTTGGTGGCTGCGTTGAGGGTGACATAATTGATGGTCTTGTTAGCAAAAAAAGAATGTTTTAGAAAGTATCTCGCAGCGTCCAAAATCAATTCTAGGTGAAATAGAAAAACAAATTCAGTTAATTTACCCTCGGTAGGTGGTTTTGTTGAAGGCGGCATAGTTGATGGCTCTATTNCAAAGGAAATGGCGCAAAAGCGTAGCTGAGCTCATCATCGGTTCACGGCGGTGAGTAAGTACGCAAAAATCTCAGGTGTGCAATGATGCAGAAACTTGAATTATTCGCGTTGGTGAAGGAACTTTGTAAATTAGTGCCAAATTGCACTTTGCTAGACTCAAGAAGATTAATTCATGTCGTATATGTTTATTTTTTCTGGTTAGTACAATTTTTACATATCCGCGTATCCGCATGTTGCATTTGTATGGTTTTGTAAAATGTGTCTAATCCTATAACGCCGCGTGCGAGCCTATATGGTTTATCAAGGTAACGAGTAAATGCAATTATCATTGAATCAGTACTTGCCAAACATTAAGCGTTTAATTAGTATATAGATCGAGGGTAGATTGCAATGTTTTCCTGGTGATAACTAAAACCACGTGACCAGAAATACTACATACAGTCAGTCGACAGTAGAGAGACTACTATGATGAGCTGACATCGAAAGGAATGTAAATAAACGTGCTGTGCTTGGGGAAGTTTTCTGAGCTTAGTGGAAAAGAGGTGCCAAAGTACAGGCTAAGGGTGAAACTTCAATGTTAAAGGAATTGTGTCATCGGTGTTTGCACCTGTGAGTGACCAGTTTCAAATCCGTATTGCTGCGACATGCGTATGTCGGCTTTTGCTTATGCTTGTGCGCTAGTAAGAACCAGCCTTTTCTCAATTGGACGCAATGCACCTCTATGTAAATAGTTCACCCATGAATTCAAATCTTAAATGATAGCCGGATCGTTTAAAACAAAGGCAATGAGAGATACCCTTTCTGTTACAACTGCATGACTTTATTTCATTTAATTTGTGCACTTTCTTACTCAGTCATCAAAGCACATACAGTCATTGTAAAAGACTTAATTGATTACTCCTCACACTCGTCCTCTTCTTCTATCGGTAAGGTGATTGGCTGCTTCGTAGTGGCCACTGGTGGAGGCGACGGTGGTGGTCCTGCTGTTGATATAAAGCGCAGAACTACTTCTTTAAAAGTTATCTTTCAAAATATGAGTGAAGTATTTAAAATATATATTCATAAAACTAATCTGAACAGTACTGAACAAGGCTATGACAGTGGAAAAAAGCTCAAAAGTCTAATTAATCGTTCAGCCTGCAATTTTAAAAAGGTGATGAAATAATTTTGAAACACGAAACATATTAAAACAAATGTAACGATAAGTAACTTAGCGAACTCAGTGAAAAGTGGGTTGTAACATACAACATAGATACGAGATGGCTAGTTATCTTTATTTTATGTGGTTGAGTCCGTTAAAGACCATGGGCGCAAATTAAATTACATCATATTAAATTAAATCAAATCAAATTAAATTAAATTAGGTCTTATGCTAACGGTAGTTGGTTCGGATATCTCATCTCAGTTAATTAGCATGGATTTTTGCGACTGTATTTCTCCGTTTTCTCCTTAGTTCTAGTTTCGCGGTCGAGAAGATATTTCACTCAAGACAGTGTTTGACCATATTTCCAACCACCTCGAATTTCGTTTACAATATTCCGCAACGCATCGTATTTTCTCCTCCCTACTCGGCGTTTTGATCCATGTCTTGTATATATTACTTCGAATCAATTGAAGGAAACTTCAAAATAGTAGTCGACAATCATCTCAGACATGTTAAAAGTGGTCGAATTTCGCCCGAGGTCTTCAGAAGAGAGCAGAAGATCAGTAATTAGAAAGATGACGACTACTGGCAAGATTAAGGCCAAACTTTAGAAAAAAAAACAAACGAAGAAGATGACCTGGATCTACAGAGTTCCCTAAATTGTCGGATTAGTCATTGCCCAGGTTCGAACTTTTGTTCGTAACAACCAATCAGACACCATACAACGATCTTTGGGGGGTTACGTCATCGACATGGAAATTTTGTGGGCCAGTCCCAGACATTCTTGTGATGAAAAATCGAGAGGATGAAGAATTAACTGTGCGCGCCAAGAAAGAAGAAATACATTACTCCGGGTTAGTAACAAGTATACTTGCCAATTAGGTTAAGTAAAACATTTTAAGTAATTTTTACCTATTGTAGGTGACTCTGTTGTAGGTGACTGTGTTGTAGCTGGCCCAGTAGGCGTTTCTGTTGACATAACCACAAACATGCTTAAAGAAAAGTTAATGAAAAAAGTAGCGCTTGAAATTTAGCTAAAATTACAAGGAGTGATTCGAAAATGACAGTTATTTTACCCTTAAAAGGCGGCGTTGTCGATGTTGGCAGTGTTGTTGTTTCTGTGGGCAGAATTATGAACATATTTTGAAACTAGCCTAAGAATTAGAAAGGACAATCAGTAGACTACATATTTTACCGTTGTTAAATGGCTTAGTGGAAGGTGACATAGTTGATGGTCCTTATTGCAAAATCACAAACTGGGTTTTGGAAACGAATCTCACGACAAACTAATTTTATTTCTCAAACTCATTTATAATTCATGCAGTTTAAACAAAGGAAATCGTGACTATGTCGGGTTTTTTTATATCTGATATTAATTAGCATAGATTTTTACGATTTTATTTCTTCGTTTTCTCCTTACTTTTAGTTTCAATTGAGAAGGTATATCAAGCACACAGGAGAGTGTTTGACCACGTTTCCAAACACCTAGAAGTTCGTCAAAAATACTGCGCTGCGCGTCGTATTTTCAACTATCTTCTTGGTGTTTCGAAATGTGGTCAAACACGGTCTTTCGTGTTTGATATACTACCTCAAGCACACTGGGGAAAACTGTTTGAAAAATACCATAAGTGCGAGTTTGGTTACCCTTTGTTGGAGGCTGGCTTGTGGGTGGCATAGTTAATGGTGCTGTTGGCAAAATTGTAAAACATGTTATTTGGAAATTAATATAAGGACAAGCTAAATTTGATTCAAGAAGAAAGAAAAACAAATATCAGTTATTTTACCCTTGGTTGGTGGCTGGGTTGTTGGTTGCATAGTTGATGGTGCTGTTAACAAAATTGTAAAAACTAGTACGGCAACAAACTCAATTTACCGCTAATTCAAGAAGAAAAGGAAAAAAAACATCAGTTATTTTACTCTTGGTTGGAGGTTGCGTTGTGGGTGCCATAGTTGATGGTGCTGTTGACAAAATTGTAAAACTTGTTATTTGGAAACCAATATAGCAACAAGCTAAATTTAATTCAAGAACAGAAGAAAAAAAATATCAGTCATTTTACCCTTGGTTGGAGGCTGGGTTGTGGCTGGCATAGTTGATGGTCCTGTTGACATAATTATAAAACATGTGGTATAGGTTACCAAGTGATTTTGAGTACGATTTAAAGTACATTACCACAAGTAAATCTTTCAGACTAAATCTGAAGCCTTTTAAAAATCTATAAGTGCTTATTTATTCCAAATTGCGCGAGAATTTGATTACTTGTCACTAATACACATGCAATTTAATTTCAACTTTCTGCACTGTTTGGGATTTTGATGTTGTGTCAGCCGATCAGCATGCTGACATTTTTGCATATTTTATTTCGCTTTGGAAACAAATGTAACAACAAGCTAGTTTTACTTCTACCTCTAGAAGAAATGCAAAGCAAATATCAGTCAATTTACCCTGGGTTGGTGGCTGCGTTGAGGGTGACATAATTGATGGTCTTGTTAGCAAAAAAAGAATGTTTTAGAAAGTATCTCGCAGCGTCCAAAATCAATTCTAGGTGAAATAGAAAAACAAATTCAGTTAATTTACCCTCGGTAGGTGGTTTTGTTGAAGGCGGCATAGTTGATGGCTCTATTGACAAAATCACGGAAAAACATTTTAATAATATAGTCGAAAAAAAACGATTATTGTAATTTCATTAATTATCCAAGAAGAACCCATTACTGTTAGTTATTTTACCCTTGGTAGGTGGTTTGGTTGAAGGTGGCATAGGTGATGGTTCTATTGACAAAATCACAGAAAAATCTTTAATAGTCTAATTTAAAAAAAAGAATTGCTTATTGTTATTTCACCAACAATTCAAGAAAAAATCGAAAAATGTTAGTTATTTTACCCTTGGTAAGTGGTTTGGTCGTAGGCGGCATAGTTGATGGTTCTATTGACAAAATCATATACAAAAAACTTTTTAATAATTTAATCAAAAAATACGATTGTTGTAACTTCATTAACTATTCAAGAACAATCTACTACTTTCAGTTTTTTTACCCTTGGTATGTAGTTTTGTTGAAGGCAACATGGTTGATGGTTCTATTGACAAAATAAAAAAACAATTTTTTTAATAATCGAAACAAAATTACGTTTATTATAATTTCATTTACAATTCAAGAAGAAATCCAAAAATGTCACTTTTTCTACCCTTGGTGGATGGTTTTGTTGAAGGTGACATGGTTGATGCTTCTATTGACAAAATAAAAAAAAAAACATTTTTAATAATCGAAACAAAATTACGTTTATTATAATTTCATTAACAATTCAAGAAGAAATCCTAAAATGTCACTTTTTCTACCCTTGGTAGATGGTTTTGTTGAAGGTGACATGGTTGATGGTTCTATTGACAAAATAAAAAAAAAAACATTTTTAATAATCGAAGCAAAATTACGTTTATCATAATTTCATTAACAATTCAGGAAGAAATCCTAAAATGTCACTTTTTCTACCCTTAGTAGGTGGTTTTGTCGTAGGTGGCATGGTTGATGGTTCTATTGACAAAATCAAAGAAAAACATTTTCATTAATCCAAAAAAATAAATACGTTTATTATAATTTCATTAACGACTCAGGAAAAAATCCAAAAATGTTAGTGTTTTTACCCTTGGTTGGTGGTTTTGTTGAAGGTGGCATGGTTGATGGTGCTGTTGACGAAATCAAAAGCACGTACGTTTAGAGAGATTAATGATTTATATACTAATACCCTAATTTTACTTGCAATTCAGGGAGAAACGAAAAAAATGTCAGATGTTTTACCCGTGGTAGGTTGTTTAGTCGATGGTGGCATAGTTGATGGTGCTGTGGACAGAATCACAGCAAAAATAAGAAATTAATTTAAGAATACGCTATTTTTACATCTAAATCATGGAGAAATATAAAACGTCAGTGATTTTACCTTTGGTTGGTGGCATAGTTGATGGTGCTGTTGATTGAATTACATACAACAAAAATCAGAAATTAATCTAAAAATACGCTTGTTTTATCTCCAATTAAGGGAAAGATGAAAAACGTCAGCTATTTTACCTTTCGTGGGTGGCTGGTGGCATAGTATTGTTAGTATCAATCAGGGTCAAACTCTCGGGACATTTTCCTAGTAGGTGCTCAAATTCGCTTACGTTTATGTTTAATTTTGTAGACATACAGAGCCAGTGGGCCTCCAACGCATAGTCGGGAGTCGTTGCGCTTCTCATCACAAGCCTCGAAAACAAAATCATCTTTTTTAACCATTGTGCATCTCCCAGACGGACCGTGTACACTATAATCAGCATTCATTTCGCCCCAACACTCTCCATAGTTCTGGGTGCCAAAATAGTCGAAGTTCTTTTGTTCTGCCTTTGCTGCGCACTCGCAAGTAAACCTATATGATCAGACAAACATAGCTTCGTTTCATTAAAGATGGCCCTAACGAAAAACTTCAACGTTTCAATTTTTTCTGGCTGAAACAACAACAAAAAAAACGTTTACTCTGAAGTTTTCCATCTTCATTTTTGCTTACTACGACAACGACAACCCAACTGGCCGACAACAAGAACAACCACACATATTTTTCTTTCAAAGCAGGTTTAACGCGTTTCATACACAAATGTTTTGATATACCCACCAAATAACTTTTCACTTTTACCTGTCAGTGAAGTTTGCCCAATCTTTCCAATTTATTCTCTCTCCAAAGTAAACCTTTGACTTGGGATCTCTTGCTGTAAGAAGAAGTTCAGGAAACGCCCTTGAGTCAGCTTTGTCTTTAAAACAACCAACCCCCTTGAATTTCAGCGAGCATTCCGGTTGACTTGACAAGGAACAGCCTGGCCTCGGAACTGAAACAATAAGTTGCAGTAGTAATGCTCAACTCATTAGTAATTCATCAACTTTTAAAAAAAACGAAATCATGACTGTGACGGTTTTGGATGCCTGGTGTTGACTAGCGTAGAGTTTTAGGATCTTGTGTCTCCGTATTTTTCTACTTTTAGTTTCGACTGAGAAGATATTTACTAGGAACAGTGTTTTACCACATTAAAAAGCCTCGAAGTTCGTCAAAAAAGCAGTACTCCGCTGTGCGTCATATTTTGGACTTTCTTCTCGATCGGCGTTTGGAAATGTGGTGAAACTTTTTCTTTCGTATTTGATAAATTGCTTCAATATGGTTATCTTTCAGGAAAAAGTTGCAAAAGAAAGCTCACTAATTATACTTGTGACCGTTAAGTTAAAAAAAACATGAGTAATATGGAAATGCAATGTACCGCAACGGAAACAAGTATCAAGTTCTTGAGAGATCTACCAAAACAGTCTCCGATTTGGTAAAAATACTTAACATAATGACATTACATTGTGGATAAATGAAGTGACCTGTTTCATTGTTTGTTTTCACTAAAAGAAAATCTAAACTGACGAGCTGAGATATTATATGATGTTTGTATAGTTATCTCTGATATGATTCTTTCCGGAATGACTGGTATGGTTTTCTTTAAGGGATAATTAGGGAACAATTTGACCTGCTTATTTTATCTCTTCATTCTAAAGAATCCGCATATAGTTTCTTTCTAGTAAGGCAAAGATGTCTGTGACTTTCTTTTAGCTTAAGTTAAATATTCTTGTCTTTTTAACGGGCTCCTTTAGCCACAATTATGACGCCATCAGAGACCTGACCACAATATCTAGTACAACCTTCAGAAATTTAAGGTTGCTAAATTGTTTTTGCTGTTAACGAACTTGTTATTGTTAGGGCAAAACATAGCTTCCTAGGGAAATATTGAGCTTTGTGGGGGGTATTAACAGGGCCCAAAGGATGTGCCATGCTTAAGACGAAGAAAACTTGTAACTTTCAGTTTGAATGGTCAAAATTATGGACAATATTGCAAACGCTCACAGAATGACGTCGAGAGAGAAAAATCTTTTTTTTATTTGCGATAACACAAGGGAAACCAATGCTTACTTACAACACTAACTCTATTTACATTACACTGTTCTAATTATTTGCACTTTTAAATTACAATATTTAAACGACTTACACTACTAACAAATACAGTTACGCGACTTACACAACTAAGAAATACAGTGACGACAAGGGGCAAAGAAAAGAGAGAGAAAAATTACTAAATTTATGGGTAACAGATAACGGGGTAATACAATCAAATCTACGTTTGGCAATGACAAAAGTCATGCGTTGCTTTGGATAATCACGAATACAAAGTTACCTGCTCTAATTGACTGCGGTGGAGGAGCTGAGGTTGATGCATCTGTCGACAAAAAGATTTGCCAAATTAAAAAAAAAAAACATTACGCGATATCACTTGAATTTTTCACGTTTTGGGAGAAAAATTAATAACGCGAAAAAAGGAACTTAATAAAGGTAGTAAGTAAAGGTAGTACGCGAAATCACAGACAATCACGGGTAATTATAAAATGAAATAGAAATGTTCTTCTCACAAATGCAAGAATGAAATCACTAGTTATTCTTTCGCACACTTCAAAATGTCACTAAAAAACAGGGTTTTTAAAGTTTGCCAGTGATTTGCTATTGTAATTTTTTTCCCGTGAACCGCGTCTACCCAGCCAAATTTACAGACAAATGTATGGAAAATTAGAAAATTTAGCTGAGCGTCTTCTAGCCAAGCTACATCCTTCAAACTTGGTGAATGCAATCTTCTACCTCGTATTTTAACGTTGCGATTCACAATTTGTGTAAATTTCAAGTTTGGAAAAAGTTATTTGCCATCGGATTCCCACAGAAACAGTTTAATTTCTGACCCCTTTGTCTATCCGTCAAGATGGCGTCGAAAGCCGTGATAAGGTCCATTACGTTATAAAGGATATGAATGATGTATTCACCTCGTACAAGGCCCAGTAGGAACAAAAGTACGACAAGCCTCAACACCATTTTAACTTGCTCCTAGAAAAAAATGTGGAGAGAAGAACAATTACGCTGTATTATAGACTCACAAAATGCCCAGGGATTGTTCTTAGTCAGTGCAATTTTACGGAGATTTAGAAAAACCGATACTGTTTAGAACATCCTCAAGACTAGTAAGGTTAGAATAGCTACAAAAAAAAATAGTTCATTCTAGAGTTAATAAGTGTCGTTAATTGAAAGCATTAAAAGAAAACTGAAGTTACTGAAATTTAGGGTATGGAAATCAAAGAAATACGAAAAAGGTTTCAAAAGTAACCAACTCACGACGCAGGTGCCCCCTGACAATTTGAGAAAAGGATGTGTTGAAAAACAGGTAGCCTATGTATTTGGAGTCAGAAAAATCTACAGGAAATCTGACTAAGTCACGTAAGTGTTTTTGAGAAAAGTACAAAGCCTGTAGAGAACAACAGCTACGTAGGTGTAGCAGACGTCAAATGTCAAATAAAATCTAAATAAATATATCACCAACGAGAATTAAGTTCTTTAAGATCCCATGTCCAAAACAAGGTCACGGTCGCCATAATTTCTATTGTCTTATCTTTATGAATTATTAGTGAGTTTGAGAAGTAAATAAGAATAGTAAATTGTAAATCACTAGCAGTCAATAGCACATGTTGTTATTGATACACCTGCTATTAAAATGTCAAAATTAAAAATTACTTTAATTTAATGTCAATAGTATAGAATGAAGATGTGGAAAACTAAACGTTTGATATTTATCGAGAATACTTAAGAATAAAACTTGCTTTTAAAACTGAATAATCAAACCAAACCAATAACAACTTAAACTTAGGTATATACTATGAGAGCTTTACATTAGGTCAGAATTATTGGGAACAGCTGAAAATGGAGATTTATACAACAGATAAATTCCGCTAAGTAATTTAATTGAATTATCATGAACGAGTTAAGGACGATTTGAACCCAATTTCAGATCTCAACCAGGTTTCAAGAATTCGGATTTAAGCAGAAAAATCTTACCTGCCCAGTGGTTATGCGTTCACTAGACTTTTACATGTTAGTAATTAACTCGATTTCCACATTATAACAGCAAACACTTGTTTATTATATTTCGGCGCACGAAATTTAGCTGAAACTATAATGCAAAAGCGATGACATTCAATCTAATGATTTTGTTTCATGTTTTGGTTCAAATAGTTCTTTGTGGATAAAAGGTTTTCGGTATAAATTTCAGCGGTTTTTGGAAATTATAAGAGATCTGATAAGACGCCCAATTTGTGTCTCATTGGATTAAATTGCTCCTGGACTTCGAATACTTCAGTTGCAAGAAACCTTACCTGGAAGAAACCAAATGCTTGAGTCTCTTCAAAAAAGGTTGCACTGCAGTCTGTTCCACCAGTTTAAATTCTCATTATCAGTAAACGAAAGACCGTGAGATGAAAAAACAAAAAAGCAACGAAAGGATTACTTACCTTCTTTTTCAGATTACAGAGTCTGCTTCTTTCTTTTTTGAACGCGAAAGTAAAAGTTATTTTTCTTCGGAGCAAATAAGTTTACGTTAATCACAATTTGAACCTGTCACATTCTTTTGCTTTTCTTGCGGGCATGCGCACTTGTAACATTGCAGTCCCAAGTAAGGTCAATAAAGAGAAGTGAACCACGTACTAGAATATAAATCACGATTTGTTTGTTCAAATTTTCCCTAAGCGACTATATCAGACATGAACGAACCTTGTATCTTAGTCGGCTGTAATATGGAATATTCTNATGAGAGCTTTACATTAGGTCAGAATTATTGGGAACAGCTGAAAATGGAGATTTATACAACAGATAAATTCCGCTAAGTAATTTAATTGAATTATCATGAACGAGTTAAGGACGATTTGAACCCAATTTCAGATCTCAACCAGGTTTCAAGAATTCGGATTTAAGCAGAAAAATCTTACCTGCCCAGTGGTTATGCGTTCACTAGACTTTTACATGTTAGTAATTAACTCGATTTCCACATTATAACAGCAAACACTTGTTTATTATATTTCGGCGCACGAAATTTAGCTGAAACTATAATGCAAAAGCGATGACATTCAATCTAATGATTTTGTTTCATGTTTTGGTTCAAATAGTTCTTTGTGGATAAAAGGTTTTCGGTATAAATTTCAGCGGTTTTTGGAAATTATAAGAGATCTGATAAAACGCCCAATTTGTGTCTCATTGGTTTAAATTGCTCCTGGACTTCGAATACTTCAGTTGCAAGAAACCTTACCTGGAAGAAACCAAATGCTTGATATTCTTCAAAAGAGGCTGCACTGCAGTCTGTTCCACCAGTAAAAATTCTCATTATCAGTAAACGAAAGACCGTGAGATGAAAAAACAAAAAAAGCAACGAAAGGATTACTTACCTTCTTTTTGAGATTACAGAGTCTGCTTCTTTCTTTTTTGAACGCGAAAGTAAAAGTTAATTTTCCTCGGAGCAAATAAGTTGAAGTTAATCACAATTTGAACCTGTCACATTCTTTTACGTTTCTTGCGGGCATGCGCACTTGTAACATTGCAGTTCCAAGTAAGGTCAATAAAGAGAAATGAACCACGTACTATGATATAAATCACGATTTGTTTGTTCAATTTTTCCCTAAGCGACTATATCAGACATGAACGAACCTTGTATCTTAGTCGGCTGTAATATGGAATATTCTGCAGTACATTAATATTTTCACCATTTTGTATAGTGGTTTTGAATTCAAGTCAGTAGATTTCACAATGTTAACGTCCAGATATGATTCCAAGTGAAAGAAAGAGTTTAAAAGCAGTGTAAATAAGCGAAATAAGCCTTAATAAGTGTAAATAAGTGTAAATAAGCCTTAATTCTTCACGAGCTTCAACTTTTTTCACAGATTGCTGACCATGTATTAAGGCCAGAAAATCTGGAAGTGGAGAGTTCAGGGACTTAATTGCAAAAGGTACATTTTGTTAGACCAAAATTTTGACGGTGACGAGGACAGCTCAGTGAGATTAAAATGTTTTATTTGTTTTTAATTGACATTGCTAGTTACTTTTTGCGCCCACTGATTTCATTTGCGCCTTCCACTTTAAATAGTATCAACTTTAAATTTCCTGTCTAACTTGGACGAAACATTTTCACGGCTCGACAAAAATCTTCCATCGTATGCCTCTTTATCTCTCTCAACCTCCGTCATTTACATCAGGCGCGCTGAAAATTACTCTAACAATTATATCGGAGATTAACATTGTAGTTTGTAGCATTAGAACTCATGGATTGAACTCATCTCTTGTTGGTTGATAACATGCTATTATATTTCGCCGGACATGTAGCCTCTAATCATAATGGGATCGACTATTTCTAGACAGTCCTGGGATTTTTGAAGCCAGGGGTAATCCAAAAGTAACTTAAGAGATATTTCACCTCGAGAATGAAGCCCATATGGGGGACTAACTCTTTTACCCTTCGACCTCTGCTGATGCTCGATAATAACTGATTTCTGATGAAGAACAATTTGCTTTCTGTGGCATTTTTCCAGGATAAAAATTGGTGATACAGTTGTTTAACGCCCTGGTTGTGTTCGTCTTGTAGGAACTTGTATAATTCCCTTACAAGGTCGACTTTTTGTGGAGAGTATATAAGTATAAGTGCATCCTTCTCTTTTAAACAAACGTGGGGGGAGAGGGGTTGCCCAGGACAAAAATTACTTACCACCGAAGTCATCATTACAAGTACCAATTGTTGTAGTCCTTCGTCTTCAGTCACGATAAGCAAAAATCCGCGTTAATGTTCGTCATGGTCTTAAGTTGCAACTCCCTCGAAAAGGCTAAATAATTATATCAAATCTTGCATGTCTAAATATTGCAAGAAGATTTGACCATGGACGAGTCGCTCAACGTTTTTCCTTATTTCGTATCATCAGTGAAAAGAAGAAGCTGATTTTCATGACTCCACATGAAATTTAAGGAATACTGTTCGACGGAATCCGCAACATTCTGGTTCAGCACAAACAGGGCCGGGTTAGTAGAAGATTAGCTCACTGAGTAAATTTAATACAGAAAGTTGAATTTTAAAATCTTAAAAGCTGTTGTCACTGGCTTAAAAATCTTAAAATAGACGTTTCAGCTAAAATACTATAACCTTCTTCAGTGATGAAATGAATGTTAACGGCGTCTAAATGTAAATGAGATGTTTACTTATAAGAATGTGAGGAACTCGCCTGGGATTAATTTAGCACTTTGTAAATGTCTGGAATATGCGCGTGGTCATTAATTGAGTTCGGTTCGCGAATGGA